TCAAATTGCTTAAATATTTGATTTGATTCGATTTTTAAGGAACCCTAATACCAGTATATCATATTTTAAGATGTTTTATACCAGTGAACTATATGATTTCAACTTGGTGAAATGCAAAAGAATATTTAGCTATCAATCCGATTAATAGAAAATACCAATTATGAAATTATGATATCTTATTTCCTTCCGAATTGTTATTTTCAACATAAAATAATCTATTAAAATTGCTTTCCGAATTGTTATTTTTAACATAATTTTATTGGCCTAACAAATCCTTCCGAATTGTTATTTTCAACATAAAATAATCTATTAAAGTTGCTTTCTGATTTTATAAATATACAAATCGTCCATAAATTGGACAGGTTGATTTAGGTTGATTTTTAGCCATTAATAATTATGTCTGATTGACAGACGATTGATGGATGATTTATCACATGTCTGATTTTTTGATTTCGATCAGTGAGATGTTATTATTTTAACTGATTTATTAATAAAAGAAAAGACAAGATTTTTTGCTAATGTATTCAATATATAAGAGAATAAGTTAATATTTTCTAATGATTATATAGCTTCAAAAAATGTAATAATATCTGTCAATATCAAATACATAAAGAATCAGAAAATATATCACTAATATCTCTTCCAAAAAAAGAATTAAGCTATAATAATTTTTAAGAATATACACTTTTAATAAACTTTATAATATCGATAAAATAAGTCTTTATTATCAGATATTTCTAAATTAAACACTTATAATTAAACTAATTCATATTAAAAAAGATAATAAATTATAGTTATTCTTAATACAAATACAATAGAGACTGATAAGCTCAAACTGTTAATAATTGGTAATATAAAAGATTCAAGACTTTTTTTTGAAAATTAATATAAAATAACTTCTAATTTATTATTATTGAAGTTCAAAAGCATAGATGAATTGACAATTTTTGAATAGTTACTTAAGAGTAAAAAATAAAAAATGTTACTTTTGATTAATAATACTCTGTTACATTTTAATTCATATTATTTACCAACTGAATAAAATAAAGATAATATTAATGAAGAAACTAGTAAGTTTTTATTGTGTTTTTTTTTAATTCTATTTAGAGCAAAGGAGAATTAAGATGAATGATGAGAATGATGAATCAGAAAAATTATTAGGCAAATACATTATAATAAACAAAATTCACAAAAGGATTAAGAAAATTCTTATCTTAAAAAATAATTTATTAGAAAGCCTTTAAATTCTAATTTATTTAATTAATGATATATTCAATTACCAATTACTTAAAGATAAGGCATTTTGAAACTTTTATTGTAGTATTAAAAAATAGAAATAGAAAGATTTTAGAAAATAATCTAACTTATAGATAATAGTATTATTCATAAAGACTATATTGCATAATATTTAAAAAGAGAAAAAGTAAAGTATTAATCAAATTACCTATATAAAAAAAATTAATATATCTTTTTAAAGTTATATGAGAGGCAGTCAGTAGATAAGAAAAAAATCCAAAATTTTTATTAATTTTTATTATTAAGCCAAATTTATCGTTATGCACATAATCAAGATTAGCCAAGTGGTTTAATAATATAAATTTTGATCAAAATTTAAATTTTTCCCTTTTCTACTGACCGCTTTCCATATTTATAAAAATTTATTAAATACTATTATATTGCTGAACATTAATTTTTTAATCAAGAAATATGATAACTTAGCTTATACTATTTATTATCCTTCTCATTATTTGTCAGAAAATTTTGAACAATTATATCAATTTTTAGATCTAATGTTTGAAGAATACTTGCTTTATAAATTATTTAAAGAGTTATATAGTAAGTAAATAACAGAAGATCATAAATATTTGCTTAAGAATGCTAAAATAAAAACAAATGAAAATTATAAAAGAAAAGTACACTATATTATTTTTTTTTTGCTACATATATAAAAATATTAGTATTATTATAAAATATGTTGAGTTTGAAAAATTACAACTTTATTTAGTATAAAAAAGCTTTTTTAAGAAATAAAATAATTCTGCAAAAAATTTTGAAAATAATTTTTATACCTATAGTATAGTATTTCACAATATGTATGATATTATAATAGCTGTATCACTAAAAACTAGATAATATGAAAAAAGCAGATCAAGAAAATATAGAAAAGAAGGATGATTATAATAAAAATAAATAAAATGAATATAAATATGAATATAAAAATTCAAATAGTAATGATAATAATGAGAAATTTGATAATAATATGAAAAAAAATCTAATAATAATGTAAGTTCTATTTATAAATTTTTTTCAAAAGTCTTTATTAATGATTTATAGACTTGTATATTATAAATCAAAAAATTATACTATTCAGCTAATATTTGTATTAAATGTAAAATCTTGAATATTGCTAAACCAGCAAAAGGTAGTAATAATAGTATCATAACTTTAAAAAAATGATTAAAATGAAGACAGGATAGTAAAGATAAGAAAAAATATACAAAAACTTAACTTTTGAATTCTTAATTTATTATAAAGATGAATGCTAAAAAAAAAGAAAGCTATAATAAAATAATATAATTCAAACCTTTTTTGAACTTTCTGTAAATAAGTTTAAGTACTATATATATTTTTAAATAACTCAAATTTATGTGAAATATAAATCTTTCTTTTTAGTCAATTAAAAAAAATTTTATAATTCTACTTTACTGATTCAGATAAAATATGAAAACTGATTTTATTATATTATGTAGCCTAATATTTATAGTTATATTTATATTTATAAAATTTATGTATTTAAATAATAGAATAAAAATACATATTAAATTAAATATCTTTTATCAGTAATTTTCTTAAAAAACCTTATATTATTAATCTTTTATAAATAAATTATAAAATATAGCAATTTTTATGGATTAGGAAATTTATTTAAAAATGAACAAAATTAATAATAAATTCTAATGAATCACTAGGTCAAAAATATATTTTGTACATTTATATTACATATAATTCTGTAGATATCGATTTATATAGTTAGTGATTCAAACGATTCAAACACATATAGATGATCGATTCTAAGCCACTCTTTTTTCTTTATAATTTTTTAATAAAATGAGTACTCATACGGGAGGAAAAAATAGGAATAATGTTTCTATTCGCTTTAAAAAGCACATTTTCCTGTTTACATTTGTAATTTTTGTTTTCATTATAATGATTTCAGCAGTAAAGAAACAGGATTTTAGAACGTGCGCGCAAACTTCGTTTTGTCGCAGAAATCGTGATTATGCTGATAAATCTGCTAGTTCACCATATAATGTAATCAAAGATACGATCAAGATAGAGGATGGAGTCATTTCAGGAGAATTAATTAATTCTGAAAATAAAGTTTATTTTATCTTTGAAATTCATCTATTAATCAATAATGTTGTCAGAATTCGAGTCAATGAAAAAAGTCCACTAAAACCTAGATATGATAGAGTAAAGGATTGGTCACTAGTCCAGGAGCCTAGTAATACTTTAGAATATACCGAAAATACCGTAAAGGAGGGTATTACATCAATCTCTTTTGGAATAGATCGAAATCATAAGGTTATAATACATCATGCTCCATTTCGTGTTGAATTACTGGATAACGATTTACCGGTCATTACATTTAATGATCGCGGATTCTTTAATTTTGAGCATTTAAGGAAAAAAGATGATCCAGTTAATAATCAACCTGATAAATTAGTAATCCAATCTGACGATAATGCAGATTTTGCAAGTGAGGAAATACTAGAAAAAATTGAAGAAAAACGAGAGGATGGTTTATGGGAAGAAACATTTAATGGCAAAAAGGATTTAAAACCAAATGGTAATTTACAATTAAGCAAGCAGAATTTTGTAATGAAATTAAATATATAATATGTATATTTATACAAACAGGACCCGAGTCTATTGGTCTCGATATCTCATTTCCGGGGTTTGGTCATGTGTATGGTATTCCAGAGCATGCAACATCTCTTTCATTAAAGGAAACACGGTATGATATTGTAAAATTTTGTATATGACTTATTATAATTCATCATTTACATTCTTACATTTTTTCTAGCGGGGGACCAGGTGCATATAATGAACCATATCGATTATATAATTTGGACGTATTTGAATATGATATAGATAATCCAATGGCTTTATATGGATCAATTCCATTCATGATGGCACATCGTAAGGGAGCATCAGTCGCAATATTATGGCTTAATTCCGCCGAAACATGGATCGACATTGTCAAAAGCAAAGAAGACAAAGTAAATATATTATTGTATTGAGTTATAATGATCTTATTAATTCGATTAAATCTTTTTCTTAATAACTTTATTTATTATTAGCATGGACTTTCAAGTTTTCTTAATTTTGGAAAAAACACACCAACTTCGACGCATACACACTGGTTTTCTGAATCTGGCATCATTGATGTGTTTGCCTTTCTTGGCCCAACAACATCTGATATATTTAAGCAATATGGATCTCTCACCGGATTCACCGCTCTACCTCAATCATTTGCAATCGCTTATCATCAATGTCGATGGAATTATCTTAATCAACTTGATGTAGCTGAAGTTGATGCAGGATTTGATAAACATGATATCCCATATGATGTCATTTGGTTGGATATTGAACATACCGATAATAAAAAGTATTTTACATGGGATAAAACAAAATTCGCAGATCCAGAAAAAATGCAAAGAGATATTGGTAGGAAAGGAAGAAAGGTAGATATGTAAAGAAGTTTTGATATTATCTAAGTTATCAAAAAAACATATATATATTTATTTATTATTATAAAAAACTTTACTCTTCCGTTAGATGGTAACAATTGTAGATCCACATTTCAAAAGAGATGATAACTATTATGTTTACAAGGAGGCTAAAGAATTGGACCTTCTTACTAAAGAAAATGTTGATAAAGTATATGATGGTTGGTGCTGGCCTGGTAACTCTATTTGGCCTGACTGGACCAATCCAAAAGCTCAAGATTGGTGGGCTAAAAAATTTGCATTTGATCAATATAAAGTAAGATCAATCATTTCTTTATAACAAACAAGTCATCTTTAAATTACGAAAAGCAAGTTTTTTTTTAAAAAAAAAAAATTATTCAGGAATCAACCGAATTCTTATTTATTTGGAATGATATGAATGAGGTAATTTAATAATTAATCAAGCAACTTAATCTTGTATTTCATGACAATCTAATCATATCTTAATTTGATCAATTTAGCCTTCTGTTTTCAGTGGTCCTGAAATTACGATGCATAAAGATGTTATTCATTATGAAGGATGGGAACATCGTGACATACATAATCTTTTCGGGATGGCTTTTGTAAATATTAATTCGTTTTTGTTTTAAGAAGAATGATCTAGTTACTAATTTATACTTTTCAGCATGCAGCAACTGCTCAGGGTTTAATAAACCGAACCAATCCACCCCGTCGTCCTTTTGTACTTTCTAGAGCATTTTTTGCTGGAAGTCAAAGATTTGGTGCAATTTGGACAGGTGATAATACTGTTAGTTGGAACCATTTAGCTATTTCATCCCCAATGTTGTTAACTATCGGTATTTCTGGATTGCCATTCTCGGGAGGTCAGTTAATTAATGTTATTGATATTTTATTATTTGATATATTTATTAATTTTTTATTAATTCATTTATTAACTTTAGCTGATGTTGGTGGATTCTTTGGAAACCCTGATCCCGAGTTATTAGTTCGTTGGTATCAAACTGGTGCTTTTCAACCTTTTTTTAGAGCACATGCTCATATTGATACAAAGCGTCGGGAGCCTTGGTTGTTTGGAGAACCATACACTAGTTATATTAGAGACGCAGTTCGACAGAGATATATTTTATTACCTTTTTGGTATACTTTATTTCAAGAAGCTAGCACTAACGGAATGCCAATCATTAGGCCTATGTTTGTAATTTTTCCGAATGAAGAAGAGACATTTTCTATGGAGGATCAATATTTTGTTGGAAATTCTCTTCTCGTTAAACCTATCACAAATCAAGGACAAACTTCTACTGAAATTTACTTTTCCAGAAATGAAGTATGAAAGGAAAATTATATTTAAAATCATATAAAGGATTAAGAAAAATTCGATCTTTAACTTTACTTTTGTTTTGTAGGTATTTTATGATTATTATACATTTAACAAAGTTAAAGGGTCTGGTAAAGTAAAAGTAAATGCTCCTATAAATAAGATTCCAGTATTCTTAAGAGGAGGCTCCATTATTCCTAGAAGACAAAGATTCAGAAGATCTTCATTAGCTATGCGTTCAGATCCATTTACACTATTGGTTGCTTTAGACAATAAGGTAAAAAAAAAAACATTGCAATTTTCTTAAAAAATTTAAAATGATAAATATTTTCTTTTTTTTATAGGGAGAAGCAACCGGATCATTGTATTTAGACGACGGAGAAACTTATGAATATCAAAAAGGACATTTTATACATAGAAAATTTAACTTTACTTCCGGAATATTGTTGTCCACATCATTTATTGATGGTCTAAATATCGATAAAGAAAATAATTATGTTAAATCAAATAAGGATCTTAGTGTAGAAAGAATAATTATTCTTGGAATTGATAAAGCACCAAAGAAAATAATTGGGTATTATAATGATTCAACAGATGATAAAAAGGAATTGAAATTTAGTTCAGGAGGAACTAATTATATAGGAATTAATATTGAAGAAATATCCAAAGATGTTGTTGTTATTAGAAATCCTAAATTATTGATTAGTGAAGATTGGACTATCGAATTTGTAAATTAAATGGGAAAGAATTTATAGGTAGTTAGAAAATAATTTTATATTTTCTCCATTGCTTATTTATTATTTGAAAGCTTTTGGAATTTCTCGTGCTGATATATGTGAAACTCTAATAATGATAATAAAATTATGATAGTATCAATACTTTTATTTTTATCATTTAAGTTTTTATCCGTGAATACGTGAATATTCAAAGATAGAACGAACATTTTTGAAATAGACCGACCGTTACTTGAAATGACGCAAAGGATTTGGGTGTGAAAAGTTGGTTTATACTATGCTTATAAAATTATTTTGCTAAAAAGGTTTTAATGAGTTGTATTCTTACTATTATTAATATTAATATTTACATAAAAGCTTTCAAAATGAATAACCGAAATTTCGATTTTTATTTCATTATTTTTTTTATACTATTGAGAATCGTTATGATCGAGTCAATTTTTTTTTGATACCGCGCCACTTTGATTGATATCTTAACATTGTTACTAAATGCCAGTGATTCAAGACTTGACAAATTTTCTTAACCTTCTAACACCCTACCTAATAACAATAATTCAATAATTGATTAATAAGTGATATTCCTAAACAAGTGATCGAAGATTTAAACGTAGAACTCTTGACTGGAACTTTTTAAAAAAGGTTAAAAATTAAATGAAATAATTTTAAAATGTTAATACATACATTATTATTATTGATTTATAATATCTTCATATTAATACATATATTCAATGCTAAAACAATACAAAAGTGATTTAGCATTAATTTAATAAATTTCAAATAATCCTAGGAAGGTTTAAAACATTTTTAGATTCATATTCTCTAATGGTTTTTATTAATTAACAGTATCAGTAATGGTTTTCATAAATTTTATTTGCATTATACATAAACAATTGTTAAGCAAATTTTTATTTTAATTTACTTGAATTATATCAGTCGAAATCATTTCTTTCGGCATTAATACCTTTTGGTAAACATTCAGCCAATTCGGTCATGTGATTTGGCAAAAATTCAGCATGAGTTATAAAAATCAATAGTCATTTGTTACACCACACATAATTTAGCATTATTTCGCCATTAGACCTTTCAATAAACATTCAGCCGATTCGATCATGTGATTCCGGCTTAAGTTATAGTAATTTGTTACACCACATATAATTTAGTATTATTTTAGTACTAATAGGCTAGACTGAGGATTTGGCAGTCCTAGCTTAGCGGTAAAACGCTAAGCCCTATCATAGGTTACACTGCAATAGACCCTAGTTCAGTCCCTAGCCAAGGCAGATCGTAACAAATTAAGTTTGTAGGATTTACCGGTTCGATTCTGGGAATGAATATCATAGGGTGCGTACATACCATGTACGTTGAAGATCACGAATTTATAGAATATGGTGAACCTGAGATGTCTATAAAGTGTGATGGTAGCTACCACCAAAAGGTGTAAGTTCGCTTCGTCTAGATCCATACCATCCTGATAACAGGTAGTGGTAATAGATATTCTCACCTATCGTGAATCAATTGAGTTTGAAACTGATAGTGGGACTGGTCTGTAATGGACAAGTGCGCATCATCTGCAAAGGGTATCCGTGAGGGTAGGATCAATGGTAGGTACTGTATAACTTGGATTGAACAAAAGTCGCAGGTTATAGGTGGTTAATATTGCAGTGTCTTCAATTATCGTGATGCCTATATCACAACTAGGGTTTTATGGCTGGAGTTCGATTCTCTGGGTGATTTTGACGTATGGCAAGGCAACTATAGTGTAGGCTATTATCTTAGGTCGTTCTTGACCCTAATTTCCAGTAGTTGTGATGAATGTACATGATGACAGGTACCATGCGCATTCCCACACGGGTTTATGATATGGCAGTCTACTCAGGTATTAGACAATCATGTACCTAAGACTCGCATACTCATACTGGGCTTAAAAGTGTCAAAGGGGGGTAACAGTGCTTCATCACAAATAAGTCGTATAGCTACTTGTGAGCCGTGCGCACCATGTAAGCATCAGCGCGAACCTAGTAAAGCAATAAAAAAAAAAAAAAAAAAAATAGGCTAGACTAATTAAAAAGTTTATTTACCATAACCCTTTTCTTTGGTTTTAAAATAGGTCTTGAACAACACTAATTTATATATAAGATCTGCAAAAAAATGAAAGATTAACAAGTATAACTAATCTAATTTTGGTCATACATACATAAATAATAAAAGTTCTGTCACCTTTATTCAAAACTTTTCCTTAGAGCTTCTAATGAACTTATGAGTCAAATGAGTTGACTCGAATTTGAGTCAAATCAAGTTAAAAATTTTCTGTTTCATTTGATTCGAGTCGAGTTATTAGTTAAATCGAGTCAATAAATTGATTCAACTCAAGTTAACTCAGTTGACTCATATGAATTGATATTACACAAGTTATCATTTTTGAAAATGTGTAACACATTTTTAGTGATTTCCAATTTTTTGATAGCCAAAAATTTTCTTTTTAGAAATTTGTATAATTGTATATCCATATTTGGCATCTTGTGAACCTTAATTTGTGGCAAAATACAATCCCAGAATTTTAGAAAATATATCGGTTACAAAGCTTAAAATAGACATTTTTAACATATTTTTTTGAATATTGCAGCGTTCAGTGATCCATTAGAAATGTAATACATATTGTTTTGATGAACACATCTTGACGAACATGATGATGCAGATTTCACAAAATCCTGATCAGTAGATCATTAAATAATGGCTTCTGAAACATTAATTATAATTTTATTATTTTATTATTTATATAATTAGTGAATATATTTATGAGATTTTTATTTGACTCAAGTTGAGTTGAGTCAAATTTAAGTATAATTCAAGTTGAGTTGAGTTAGAGTTTTAAAAATTTTTTAACTCAATTCAACTCAACTCCAATTTTTTGAGTTAAGTCAAGTTATCTTTAAAACTCAACTTGACTCGACTCATTAGAAGCTCTACTTTTTCTATATGCAAAGTTTTATGAAGATGGTAAAGGGTTCCATTCTAGCAGATATCTAACAAATTATATATATTGTAGTGTGTTAATAAAACTTTAATTATTAAACATTCAAATGATTTCATTTAAATAAGAAATACAGCATATATTTCTGAAGAAAAGGATATGTAATGCTGTTAAAATATGAATTAGAACATTTTTAATCTTGTAAACTTATAGTTACAGTATTGTAAAAGAAAAATGGTAAATAAATATTATAAAGTGATATTTTAATTGGCTTTGAACTTTAAAAAATATTTGCTTAAAACTTCAAATAAGGTTAAGTTCTTTGTTTATACAATTTGACTTATCTGCATTTTTTTGCAAAAATGCGTCACAAACATTAAGCCTAATATTTGCAAGGCTTTTTAAGCACAATCAACAAACAAATTACGTATTTTATTACACATAATTACATATAAATTACGGATATAATTGCTAATTTTTGCATATTCATATAAATTTATATAAAGATTTTTATTTTATTAAAAAATGTAATTATTAAGAAAATATTTATTTTTACTTTTAAAATGTAGTATTATATACATTATATCTTATATAGCTTCTATTTCTATAAAATTATATAATTCTTTAATTTGTAATCAAGGATATTAATGATAATATGGTTGACTCTGTGACTTAAAGTCATACCATTAAATTAATGTCAGATTCAGTAGAGGTTTTTCTTTTTCTATTTCAATTTTTGCTATTAATAATACCTTAAATATATTAAAAATTATCAATATATATAGTATAATAAAAATGCATCAATATTAAAACTAAATAAATACCTGTCTATAATAAACACCTTGATCAGATACGTATTCAAATAATTCATAACAACAGAAATATTACTAAACTAAAGATTTTAATGATAACTGTTATTTGCACGCATTATTGCACTATTTTTCAATGTTACTGATCTGTATATTATTACCTTTGTTTAAGCGCTGTCTATTTTAGATATTTTAATTAGATCTAAATATGAATTCATACATACTAAAAACTGATCAAACCCAGTCTTCATTTTATCATCTATATTAGTTTCTACTTTTTTTTCCTCAAAAAATAAAAATAAATTTATTAACGAAAATTTAAAGAGCTTTGATGAAAATTTAAATGCACGAAAAGTTATTTTCAAATTTGTTGATTGATTTTGTGAAATTATTTTAGCGATTGATTGGTGTCGAATCTAATAAAATATAATCTCTTAGAAAAAACTACATAATATTGTGTATTTTATATATTAAATATTTATTATTTGCATTAATTGAGTTTCAATGTTTTTTTATTACTTAATCGATAAGAGACCTTAACATATTTATGATGAAGGCTTTCATAAGTCTCTATAGTATATTTATTAATTGCGTTAAAATTTCATATTAAATTGATCACATGATAAATCCATAAGTGTAGTTTCAGAAGTTTTAGCTCAGATAGAGAAATTTGTTGAAAAATTCAGATGAAGTTCTGTAACTATTCATATATAGATTCCTAAAATGCATTAACTTTAATTAAATTATAATACAAAATATAGAACTTGTCAAAGTTTTATATATATCTCGAATTTGTTCAAATCGCTTTGCTTAAAAATTTCATATCTACTCATTTATACATATTATTCCACTTTTCGTAAAGTTTTATTAAATCTTTATTTGCAATAAAGTTTTTCACTTTTTTGGTATTTTCTTTATATAAATTATTAATTACAAAAATCATTACTTTTATTAGATTACGTTATTCATTTGCCATTAATCTTGCAATTGATTGTAATCCAGTTTTAAAAATTTTAAATTTGTAAATTTTGGTATTTCCGCTAATCTACAATCTATTTCATCTACTAAATGATTACTATGTTGCAACTTTAAAAGTTATCATATATAATTAACTTGATATTAAAATAAACCCAAATCAAGGTGATGTATTCTATCAGGTATTGTGGCAGAATAAATAATTATATTTTTATGATTTGATCATTATTTATTATTAGTATTAAATAAAAAATTAAAAATAAAATAAAATAATAAAATTTTGTAAACTTATAAAAGATTCAAAAAAAAATTGAAAATATTTTCAATTGACACAGAATGGTTTGTGTTTTATTCAAAATGCTCGATCATATTTTCATGATACGTACCGGGGGGGGGACAAAAGTATTGCACGCTTTTATTTTTTCAATAATTTTTTATTTTTTACAGAAACATACAATTTTTTTTTTATTTTTCGAAAACTGACATTAATATTTAGTATGTCCTCCATTGGCGTCGATCACAGCCTGAATTCTATTTGGCATTGATCGCACCAAGTTTCGGTACTCTTTTTGCGATATCGCATCCCACGCTTCTTTTACCGCCTTTTCAAGCTCAGGAATGCTTGAAGGTTGAGGATTGCATTTTCGAATTTCTACCTCAACTATAGACCACATATTCTCAATTGGGTTAAGATCAGGACTTTGAGCAGGCCATGGAAGTAAATCTACCTTTTGAGAAAGCAAAAACTCTCGTGCAACCTTCGAAGTGTGAACTGGCGCATTGTCTTCCTGAAAAATAAATTTTTTTTTTGTTTTTCGGGAAAATTCCTTGAGCGTTGGAACTGCATAAGTGGCAAGAACACCTTTGTAAACTTCTCCAGTAACTGAACCTTTAAGTGGTATAATGGGTCCCAACTTTAAAAAGGAAAAACATGCCCAAAACATCCTTTGTGGAGAATGTTTTACTGTTGATGCAATACAATCTTCATGAAATTCCTCTCCTGGTTCTTGCCACACTCGTCCCCATCCAGATTTGTGAAATTGAGAAAAAGTTGACTCGTCTGTCCAGACTATTTTTTCCAGTCTTCAATGGTCCAATCTTTTCTTTCCATTGCCCATGCAAGCCTTTTAGTCTTGTTAATTGCTAAAATTAAAGGTTTCTTTCGAGGAATACAAGAAGACACATTTTCTTCATGAAGTGCACGGCGAATAGTTCTTTTGGAGATTGTTTTATTGTTTTTAGCAGAAATTATTTTAAATTTTTCCGTCCCCCCCGGTATATAAGCCTTTTCAGGCGAACTTTATTATTACAATATCGATATACATGAATAAATTTAGGAAGAAATGATTCCAAAGGAATCGGTTCTCTAGCTCAAAACAGTGAATGGGACAGTTCAGACAAATCCTCTTTCTAGGCGGTTCTTCTTCATCGAAAAAATATGGTATCGATGGAGGAGGTGATGATGACAGAGACATCTGTGGAAGAGGTGATAGTATCGGCAATATTGGTGGTAAGGGTAATTGTAGGGGAAGTGGTTGCGGAGGGATACCTATGATATCAGGTATTGGTGGTAAGAACATTTGTGGGGGGAGTGGTCGCGGGGGAATACCTATAGTACCAGGTATTTGTGGAGGAGAAGGCCTTCTTGGTCTTCGTATTGTCTAAAAAACATAGGTAAGTCTCTAGTATCTCGAGGGAAAATACAAGAATGTGAATTGTACTTACAGTGTTAGTTCTGCGACGCCTCCTCGATGAAGACCCAACATTGTAATTAACCCGTTCCTGAACACGAAGGTTATAATTTCGTCGTGGGGGAGGACGTGATGGGGGAGTACTCCTATTTCTTCTTCGTTGGGAACTATGGGAGATTGAACTATAAGAGTCTGAGCTGGGGGAATCCGAAGAACTAATATTATCCCCTACATCGTGAAATCCACCGAAGTATTCTCCAGCAGTGATGGCAAATTATAAGGTCTTTTGACTTGAAATTTATAATAACAATAAGGTCATTTGAGGTCATTTGAGGTCATTTCAAGGACTTTTGCCAACCCTGTTCTCCAGAACCTCCACTGAAATCTTCGTCGAAATTTTCTACATTCGGATTTGGCTTAAGATCAGACTCTTTATCCGTTATAATTTCTTTACATCACTTGCTAGAAAGCTCCGCAAGGTTGGATCTCTCTAATTCTATGCTCTCATCGAGCTCAGAAATCATTCGAAGATACCGTTCCTTTTCAGCTTGGAACTTTAATATATTTCGCCTCTATTGATCGATCAAAGGAGAAAATGCTGGTATTAATATACTTGCCAGATTGAGAAAAGGTAAAAATAATGTCAAGAAAAAATAATCGTACTTACCATCCTACATTCCCTCATAACTTCTCTTCAATAACTCTCCATACTATTTCCATCGCGTTCTAATTTGACCTATTATGAGGAAAAAGGCGTCAGTAGTGCATTAGCTTTATTTAGTGGTAATGGAAGGTGAAACTAATAGACTTTTACCAACGACAAAATTAAGGTGCCTCCTAGGAGTTACCTTCCTTTGCAAAATAAAAAAAAAACACACCTTCTCATTAAGGCATCGAAAGTGTTTATATCTAACTCTTCTGCTTCCTTTAAAAATTTAAGCGCCCAGAAATTGTCAAGATCTTTCCAGGCTGTCGTTTCAGTATAGAATGTATACTCTACAACTATTTCTCGATTACGGTGTAGGAACCTCCGGTATGATCTGTTTTTTCGTTCTCTTAAGTATGAAACAAGGTCTTAATAACCAATGTAAGACTCATTATTCTCGCCAGTAAGAACAAAAGTGGAAGACATATTGTGTTAATAAAATATCACAAGACCGGAGGAAGAGTATATATAAAAATGTGACGCGTTAATAGAGAAAAGTTATTCATAGCGAGCTTACCCTCCAGCCTTTTAAAATGGAGACGCGTGCTAGAAAGACGTGTATTGAAAATTATTTTTATCGATCAGTTCGGGAGTTAACCCGGAATAGGCAGATCGCAATTACCCCGCATAAACGTGCAGGTCACAAGTTAGGATAGCGCAAAAAACAAATGGATTTATTACGTCATACACAGCATAACAAGGATCGAAAACGTGCTTATTTTTGTCGCACATGCCTAATGCATTGTGACGAGTAGGGTTGGGAACGGTCCGATCCGGTCCGATCTTTAGCAGTCTTTTGAAAAAGATTGGATTGAGACCGAGACCAATGGTCTCATAAGATCATCGGTCTTTTAATT